CTACCCTCGCCGGGATTCGAACTATATATACTTAAGCATGCGCTACAAGAAATAAGAAGTCTTTCATTAACTAGATATATAAAAGTGTAGAATTGGAAGTCAAGTATGATAACTATTTTAATATTACATTATATCAGTTCTGTACGCTGGAGATTACGAGAACCAATATATATTTTTGACCGAAATAATGTGTCTTCATATCTAAGAAGTTTTTGTTAAAAAAAACTCCTTTGTGAATTTGGTTTCTCGAAAAGTACTACTGTTGTAGAATATGCGAAAACATTAGAATATTGAGATACGTAACTACGAAAGCCGAGAAGGATCATTCAAAATTCAAAATTCAAAATTCAAAACTCTTACATTACTCTATCATGTTTCCCCGCGCTTATGAAAGACAACAAAGATCGCACTTTAATATACTACTGAAAGCTATGTTATAAAGTTTGTTAAGATCACGAACCCATTAAAACAAGGACAATGGTCCGTAACACCTTCATAGGGATTCATCCAACTTTACTCTTTGAAACCCTTGGTAACACAGCGTCCTTGCAAGTAGCAACCCTCTATCAAGAAAATAGGAAAGAAAACGAAAGCCCTATACTATCGTATCGTATCGTATATATATTCAATGTGTAGGCACAGCTGGAGAATGTCGCTTCACTGAAATAGAACGTTCACAATGGAAAAAATGAAATCATCGCTTTTTCGTAAAATTTTAGATGTCAACCGACCCTCGTTGTCAAATTCTGAATGTACTGACTTTACTGTTCTGTACTGTACCCGTCGCCAGGTAAACTCAATTTGCGACAGTTAAACTACCGATGGACGTCCGCAAAGCTTCAAATACAGTACAGTTATCTCTAAATTGGTCATCCCTTGGTCTTCTTCCGATCGGCAGTAAAACGCATGTCAAATCAAGTCCTTTAGGTTGTGCGGGACGTCATATTGGGAAAGTTTAATCCGATGATTCGTGTAGAGAGAATGCCACGATCTCTGCACGTTAAGAACCTAGCTTGCAACAACTTTTGAGGGGCCTTAATTGTTGCAAATTCTTTTCCTACCCAATATATCCTTATTTCCAGTGGCATTACAAATTTCTCGCTCTTCATCACGGTCGACCGTCCATTACAGGACCTAGCTTTTGTATTAATTGTTATTTTTCTCTCGTCATAAATATGCATGAAATATTTGCCACTGGAGGTTAAGCAAAATACAACCAATCTCTTATTATAAACCCGGTTTTCCAAAGGAAGAATCTAGTTATCAAAATAGGTATGTACATACAACAGACAGATTTTGTGTATCCTTTAAGTTTATCAAATTTTGATGATTTTATGTTGTTTTATCAGCAAAATTCAAGTCAATTTTTTGACAATTTTCATTTATGATATTTAGGAGTCACGCGGTCTATGATTGAACGAAATATGACAACATTAATTTGTCATTAACTTATGTAATTCAATTTATACATTCAGAAGAGATATATATACATTATTTGTCATGTGTGTTGTACATTTGAATTACGCAATGTCATATTTATCATATGTGCTTTGTCCAATTGAATATTTGTTATTGAATGTAAATATATAATTTTATAAAATCGAATGAAGTCTTGAGATCGCCCAGAATCGATGAATATTATAGAAAAGTCAAAACAAAGCACAAAATTCATATATAATAGTTTCATAAAGCTGCCACAAGTACAAACTTTACTAAAAATAGATGCAAACAATAAACACTGTAAACATATGCGTTCTACAGTTGAGCTCGACAAGCCATTAGGTTATTGACCCAAATTTATTTGAGAATGCAGATCAGTAGCTCGCCAATAAGATGTTGGTGCATCGATATGATATACTAGAATTGTTATCTATATATATATATATATATATATATATATATATCCTAAATATATCATACTGATGAAGGATATCTGTTATCCGAAATATTTAACATTTGTTCTTTTTATAATTATTTTTTGGTGATGTTGTACCCTTTTAGACTTGTTATATATTATATTTTGTAGTGTACTGTATCATAATCATATGATCCATCGCCCCGTAAGATTTATCGTTGGCTATTATTCAGTTATTTAATATCCTAAATATATGATATATAAGAAAAAATGCATAAAAAGCAGCAATAATATATTGTAATAAAGTTTGTATTTCTCACCTCTGGACACTCGCACCCACAAACACCTAAGAGGCGAAGAAAAGAGCTACCACACAATTAAATTTCAAATAAACATGAATGCACCTATATAACAATAACCAAGTGCGTTTCAAAATTCTTGATTATGACATTGTATTTTATTTACAATAGTTTACCTTTATAAAATATAAAGGTAACGTTGAACACACGAAAGTTGTAAATCTTTCTCCTGTTTTTAAACAGTCACCCAGATTACCACAACCATTGATTGTCCCTCTGGTATCTTTCGCCCCTCCTTTACTGAAGGTGAATGTCGTTATAATCTGTTTCACGCATAAGGCTGATAAAATGAAAACTATGTCAACTATTTAAAATAACCAGAACAGATTGTGATATATTAGTAAGACACATGTATTTGAGAATGTTTTCATGAAAATTAATAATGTTTCAAATTGTAAAAATAATTACATTTTAAGAATCTGCAAGATCTCCAATCACAGGCGCTTAGAGGATTGGACCCTTCTTCTAAATTTCATTTTTGTAATTTGTTTAAAATTGGAATACAGGGGCATCGGTCATACAATACTCTTATTGTTAAATCAAACGATGATAGCAAGCATATGTTGGGGAAATAAGTAAAAGTACTAAAAAAATTAAGAAATTTTACTTAAATTTAATAAAAAAAATAAAAAAAGGGGCATTCCCCAAGCGAATGTGACTCCAATATGATAGGCATGGTTTTTGACACTAGATTTCTCACTGACAGTGTTAAGATGCAATAAAAACATCCGGAAGCACTGGGTAAAATTGATATCCAGGAACATTGCAAAACATTTTCGCCCTTTACAAAGGCGATTTCGGGTTAAATAAATAACATAAATAAATTAATAAATAATCATTAAGAAACAAAGTTGAAATTTTATAACACAATCAAATATAGTATGTCAAAATTATGTAAGCACGTCCGGTACAATGAAAGAAAATTTGTCTTTTCGGACACAATGCGAAATGCTTAATTTCTTACAGTATAAAATTCTCAATTTGTTCCCTGTGTGAATAAAAAAAACATCGCTACGGTCTCATTCTTCGCCTGCCTATTCTCTAATTTTACACCTAACTGACAATAATTCTCATTCACTACACCGAAAAGAGGACGCAATATATTTTTGTGTTGTATAAATGAAGATGGTGCACAATTTGCCACAAAAAGGTTCACCTGCATTCTATATCAATGTAAACAATTTTAATATATGAAATTTGGAATAGGTACCAGATTTAAGCTTCATAATATCTGAAAACATTCTGTTTTTAAGTGAAATATGTGAAAAGCCCCGTTTGTTTACCAGCATGATTCAAGCTGGCACCCCCCCCCCCCCCTTAAAAAGAAATAATAAAGGTAAATTTACAGTCAATTTTAGGTAAACAATAAAGTCCTCTAATTCCTAATGCCAATGAACGTCACCCCCATCCCACCCCTAATTTGACACCAAAGCCTGGATCTGCGTCTGACCTTTTACCTTCATAAATGTTCAGATCAGTTAAGCATGAGGTAATTTTTAAGCGTTAAATGCTGGCGCCCAATTTTTCGATTAATATATGGTATACATGTACTGTAATTGTGCATTGCAAGTTACTATTCTATCGCTCGAGAATAGTCCAATTATTTACTGATACATCACTGAGTGACTAAGTATATTCTACGGGGAAAATGTAAACATTTCAGTTTTACACGGGAAACTCTACACTTAAATTTACGACAAAAGGGACCTCTTTGAACGGCGATGTTCCTTTCGCACCATCTTACGGTGTTTATATATCACAACTCGTTCGCTATGCCCATATCTGTTGTGACGTTTTGCATTTCAATGAATGTAATCTATGTAATACCTGTAAATTGTTAAGTCAGGGATTTCGTTACCACAAATTACTTAAAACCTTTTCTAAATTCTTCCATAGATATAAAGATTTAGTTTCGAAGTTTGGTTGTACCTGTGGAAAACTTATTTTTAACGGGATAGCACATCCTAATTTTGTTATTCAGTGGTTGTCGGTTGTTGCTGGGTATCATATTTGTTTTTCGTTCATTATTTTGTATATAAATTAGGCCGTAGTTTTCTCGTTCGAATTGGTTTACATCTGTCATTTCTGGGCCTTTTATAGCTGACTATGCGGTATGGGTTTTACTCATTGTTGAAGGCCGTGCAGTGACCTATAGCTGCTAATTTCTATGTCATTTGGACTCTTGTTAAGAGCTGTCTCTATGGCAATCATACCACATCTTCTTATTTTTATATTATGATAATTCTCAAGTTATGAACTGAAGAAAAACATGAAACATTCGAATAAGGATGAAGTTACCCTCTCCCGGAGTATAAGTGATAACAAGAAATTTTTCATTTTTATTGTTTGTCTGTGCACAATTATATTATTAATCTACGGTATATATAAGATCAAGTGATAAGATTAAGATAATATTTGTTGTGTTTGGATTTCAACTGTAATACAACAGGATTATCTTTCTTGATTTGCGAGTTCTGAATTTTGAATTTTGAATTCTGAATTCTGAATTATGAATGATCCTTCTCGGCTTTCGTAAGATACATATCGTATGTTGATTTCCCATTTCGATGTTTCAGTTTAACCATTATCATGCGATTAAGTCCAAACAAAGTAAATAGTCAATGGTGTCATTTTTTATCCATTAGAACAAATCTATAAAAACAAAATCCGTGATATGTGGTTACAATGCTGTCAAATACATCTTTTCCTTTGATACAGAATTAACATATTAAAGTTCTATCAATAAAAATCATCAAAGAAACTAATTAATATTCTATTTACTGCAGATGCACACCAGCTTGAAGTGAATACGTGGCAAGAACATGATAGAAAGTTCGTTAAAACTGCTATCATTAACGATTTATTAAAATATTTAGAAAAGGAACATTTTGCTATTGTGATCGGAGCATCGGGCATGGGAAAATCAGCAATCATACACCATATTGCTTTACAAATTTGCCAAAAAGAAGGATGGACAGTAATTCCATGCCATAGTCCACAGGAAATAATAAGTCATTACAAAGAATATGAGTTTCTTATTTTCGTCACTGATGATATTTGCGGTAAATATGCAGCAAGCGAAGTTGATATTGAAAACTGGATTAATAATAGGAATAAATTAAAGATGATGCTAGGAAAAAACAACATTAAAATACTAGCATCATGTCGCTTAGAAATATTTAATGAGGAAAAGGTACAACGATCTTTAATGCCATTTCTATCTTGTAGCTTTGATCTTTCTACTAAATATAAACTTTCTCTGAAAGAAAAATTAGCCATAGCTGGGAAATATTTGAAGACTGAATACTGTGAGAAATTAGAAGACATTCTGGGAAGTGACACTTTTTCCCCTTTACTGTGTTTTTTATTCTCAAAGTACGAACAATTTACCGTTCATGAGTTCCTAAATGAGCCATTTAATATTTTTAGTTCTGAATGGGATGAGTTAAAAGTCGTCGATCCTCATAAGTACTGCCTACTGTTCATGTTTGTAATTTTTAATGGTACCATCAATGAATCATTATTCAATGAAACAAATGAAGATGAAAGGAAGAAACTTAAGAATGTTTTTGAAAATTTTAACATTGATCGCTGCACACCGTTATCTTTAATAAGGAAAAAACTAAATTTCTGTGTAGGCACTTACTTCATCAAAATAGGTAAAATGTATAAAGTTATACATGACAAAATGTTTGACTTTCTTTGTTGCTATTTTGGTAACAAGATGACTTCTTTTGTAATAAAGTATTCAAATATTGAGGTCTTATGTGAGCGAACTCAATTACAATCTTTTAACACCTTACACCCATGTCGCACCAGGAATACCGTTGTAGTTGATAGTCAATATGAAATGGAATATTTTCAAAGATTTCAAAAAGATATACAGCATGGACTTCAGAAGGCTTTAAATATCGTACAAATGAAGTACAAAGTTTGCAGGGAACACTATTTATATATTTTAAAAACTATAAGTAAGAAATCATCATTAAAACAAATTATAAATAAAAAAGATGAAAACAGTAACAATGCCTTTATTATAGCATGTTCATACGGTTATGATGCAATAGTTCAGTTTTTTATTTCCGATGGAGCCGAAATTAATGTTAAAGATACACGTTTGTCTCCAATGACAGCTGCATGTGGCTCTGGAAATTATTCTACTGTTGTTTTGTTGTTAAAACATGGCGCCCACTTAAATCAACCAGATAAATGCGGGGAAATACCCTTATATGTAGCTTGTTTTGGAGGATTTAAAAATGTAATTGAATTATTAATTGAAAAAGGAGCGGATATAAACAAAACTGTAAAATCGGGAGCATCACCTTTGTTTGCTGCATGTAACAGTGGGGATGAAAGTACAGTCACAATGCTAGTGTTGCATGGCGCAAATGTGAATAAAAGCACTAAGTCTGGAAATACTCCTTTGTTTGCTGCGTGTTGTGGTGGATTTGAATCGATAGTTAGAACCCTCGTTAATAAGAGAGCATTGGTGAATAAAACATTTGAGAATGAAGGGTCGCCATTATTTGCGTCATGTCAGAGAGGATTCAAGAAAATCGTGCAATTACTGTTAGAAAACGGGGCCCAAGTAAATAATTCTGAAAATAACTATACACCTTTGCATGCTGCTTGTAATATAGGAGATTATGAAATTGCAAAGTTGCTGATAGTAAAAAAGTCGGAGATAAACAGTCCAAAGGGTGACGGTCAGACACCTCTTCATGCTGCAGTTAAAAGTAATAATGAGAAATTAGTCGATTTATTAGTATGTGAAGGCGCAGATATAAATGCATCTTACGGTTGTGGATTTACACCTTTGTACGAGGCATCCATTGCAGGAAACTTGCAAGTTGTGTTAATTTTAGTAGAAAACGGAGCAGTTTTAAACGTAGCTTCACATTCGGGCGAAACTGCATTGTTTGGTGCATGTCGTAAGGGACATTATGAAATATCAAAATTTCTAGTAGAAAGGGGGGCTGACATTAATAAAAGTAACTGGAATGGTGATACTCCTTTACATATTGTATGCGCCGGGCGATATGAAAAAATAGTCCAGATCTTAATAAAAAGTAAAGTTGACATCAAACTTTTAAATAACAATAAAGAATCACCATTTTACATGGCATGTACAAATGGATACTATACAATTGCTAAAACACTACTGACCAATAAAACGGATGTTAATGAAGGAACAATTTATGGATGGAGTGCTTTATATGCGGCCGCCTCATCCGGTCATAAAGAAGTAGTGGAACTGTTGTTAGAGAACGGAGCGAATGTTAATCAGTGCAATACCTCCGGGTGTACCCCTTTGATTGCTGCTTGCAGTGAAGGACATATAGACACTGTTATTTTATTAGTTAACAGTGGAGCTGATTTTAATATAGCTAACGGAAATGGAGAGACTCCTATGCACGTTGCCTGCTTTGGTGGATACAGTTCTACTTATAAATTTTTATTACACAAGGGAGCGACTATAAACACATCTGATGCGAAAGGAAATTACCCCCTTCATAACGCATGCAAAAATGGACACACCGAAATAGTTATGCTTATTCTAGAAGAACAGGTTAATTTAAACTGCATTAATAGTATGAGAAACACACCACTGCATTTTGCATGTTTTGGTGGACATTCTGATATTGTTGAAAAATTAATAGAAAAACATGCAAATGTAAATAAGGTTGAAGTCAATGCTGAAACGCCTCTGTTTGTAGCTTCTAAAGGTGGTTACCATAAAATTGTTCAAAAGCTCATCGATGCTGGATCTTTTGTTAATATGCTAAATTTTACTGGATGGACACCTCTTTGTGCAGCATGTAAAGAAGGGCATTACGAAACAGTAAAACTATTATTAGAGAATGGTGGCGATATTGATCAAGCTAACTGTGATGAACAAACACCTTTACATATAGCAACGATAAACGACCATAAGAAAATATCTGAATTACTTTGTGACAAGGGAGCGGACATTTGTGAATGGCCTGAAAAATAAATTTTATTTAAAAAAGAGTTGGATTACTGGAGCACATTTTAAAGATAAGATCAAATACGTGTCAAATAAGAAGAAAGAGCAGTAATAATGAAAAAGACCCGGTGTAATAAATGTAAGCTCAGCAGAGAAGTGGTGACGGCTAAACGAATTTTAAAAGTATTCATTGATTATGAAACACAAAAGTGCTAAAAGTGTTGAACGCCAATAAGCTGAACATTGTTAGATTGGACAAAACAAACTATAGAATTAAGCGGTTCCCGGATTCAGGTGAAGCCTTCCGGCAGACAGACTAGTGAACTGATACAGCGAGATTTAGGGGAACGAATTGAAAAAGCAATAACCCGTTTTGATCGTTATAAATTTACTTTCTTGTAAAAATATACATTAAAGCAAATAAGTTATCTTAGTTTTGTTTTATACTAATTGTGTAATTCTTAATTTTTTAATGAGGATTGAAATGGGGAAAAATATGTTTATATTTTAAAGCATTGTGTAAATATCATTTCAAATTCGATATTATAAGACGAGTACGAAAGAAATATTAAATGTTGGCATCCAATTAACGGTTATAGCGAACATCAACAAAAAATAAGATAAACTGAGTAAAAATTTCTGCTTTACCCCTGTGTATATACTTTCTGCCACCAATAATTCAACTCGGACAACCAATGCAAAAGAGTTATTTTATAAAGCCATATTCTAGTATATATATATATATATATATATATATATATATATATATATATATACTTGTACGAAGTGAACTTGATAGTGCGTTCTCTTACATGGAGGAATCATCCCAATATCGATATACTAACAGATTATACCGATGATGCATACGTTGAAAATTTGTGAGATTTTTGTATCAGTGCGATCTGCTATGTCTTCATTGGTGAAATTACTAAGTGAAAGATTGTACACTCGGTTTACTCTGGGATTATCAGTAATGGCATATTATTGACGGACGTATAAATCGCTCTGAAAATTTATAAATTTTGAAGCGCAAAAATCTACCAACTTTTGACTTTACAGATAACATCAATGAGTTTAATTGTTACCGAACGTGACCTATTCCCGAATATGACTGTTATACCTAGTGAATTTGCATTGCTATACGACGTGTCTCGGTATTTTATACATCCAACATTAATGTATTTTTTTTTTATGTTTCTGTTATGATTTCTGTTGGATAATGTGTTATGTCTTATCGTTTGTAGACCAATTAATTATAAAATAGCCTTTCAATACCGTCATAGTCATGATAATTGTTTGGACTGATATTGTGAAAGTAATTGTATGAAGTTCAAGATTACATATTCGTTACGTAAGTGCGTCACTGTTTGTGATATCCTGTGCTTGTCTGTCGTTGATGGAAGATGTTCGTTTATGTTCTGCGGTTTGCATGTTGTGTCGACTATTATATTATTTGTTTGTGCGTTTCTCTGTGATGAGTGTTTGTGCTGTATTTCTGTCACGTAGTGTTGTCATTTTAGCGATATTTTTTTAATATTGCCATATAAGCGGGAGGTTTTTCTAGCCGTGAAACCATGTTCAACCCACCACTTTTTTCTTAAAATGTACCAAGTCAGGAATATGGCAGTTGAAATCTAATAGTTCGTTTCTACGTATGTTGGCGTTTGTTTTTGTTGCACTTCAGTGTTCCTGTTGTTTCTTTGTTTTCCTCATATAGTTGATGTGTTTCCCTCGGTTTTAGTTTGTAACCCGGATTTGTTTTCTCTCAATCGATTTATGACTTTTGAACAGCGGTATACTACTAGTTTGTAACCCGGATTTGTTTTCTCTCAATCGATTTATGACTTTTGAACAGCGGTATACTACTGTAAAGTTGCCTTTATTTAATAATCGTTAAACCGTATGATCCTTTTTCATGGATTATTAAATGTTAATAGACTAATAACACTTGCGTGTTTTTGCAATTAGTGATATTAACCGTATGCATAATTTTATGTACATAGTATCTATAATCATAAACTAGTAGTTCAAAACAAGTGAAGGATGATAGCAAAGAGATTTTCAAACTCAAGTCGAAAACGATCTGACGATTCCATGGCAAAACAACGAAAAACGACTAAAGCGTTTGTAATAGTTTTACATCAAATTTCTGGGACGATTCTGGTATTAAAACATTTATTGAAAACAGTTAATAAGAAATTTATATATTTAAAGTGTTTCAATATCTATCCGTTTGAAGAAGATTATTTGTGGTTCTTTAGTTTCGTAGTGTACATGTATTACAGTACAATCGTATTATTTCACATTGAATTTTAAATAGTCTGACAGCTGTCTTGTCACATTCCGATTTGAACCAACTGTGATCCTCTTCTTACCGACTTGTTCCTGTATTCATAAGAGGCTGACTTCATACATGAACTTCTTAGAAAGAAAGAAAAGAAGTTAGCAGTATTCTTAAACTTCACTTTCCGCTATACAGATGATTTTCTCTCAATTTGGTGACTATATGGAACGCCTCTATCCAATCGAACTTGAGATAAAGGATACAGCAGATACATTTAAGTCTGTCTCATATCTTGACTTACATCTAGAAATTGACAATGCCTGCACACAGAGTGTATATCTCCCAGGTGATACGATATTTCAGGTCACAAGGAAGCTATTAAACCAAGAGGTCAAAGTCGTGAATTTTATGGACGCAATCACGAGTTGGTTGATGTTTATGGTATATCTTTTTCACAGATGACAACGAATATGTTCCAATTGTAGTAACAACAATCCCGTGCCCTTTTGCCCGAATGTGACATTCCGAGTTAGACTTATCCCCGGGTTTGTACTAACTTGAGCAACACGACGGATGCCATATGTGGAGCAGGATCTGCTTACTATTCCGGAGCACCTGAGATCTACATCAGTTTTTGGTGGGGTTCGTTGTGCTCAGTCCTTAGTTTTCTATGTTGTGTTTTGTGTACTGTTGTTTGTCTGTTTTTGTTTTTAGTTATGTTTATTTTCGACTTATAAGTTTAAGTGTCACTTTTTTATCTTTCACTTCTTTTTTAAAGGAGAGTCGAAAAATAGACACATAAAAGCCTATTTAAAAAATTAAATCAATATAGGTGAGTCCAATATCTCTCAATATATTTTATTACACAGCAATTTTCAAAAAGATTTCCAAGTTTAACTTAAGAACACCGTACAGATCTTCATGTGTATTTATTTCTGACAAACTGTACAAAGTGTAAACGCCTTGAAAAATAATACATTTTAAATTTTCGTGTGTCCAAAGCACATTTTTAGATTTTATTTTATAAAAAAAACGCTCAAACCGAAACATTTGAAAGCCAGAGATGAAGAAATGTTAGGAGCAATATGAATAAGAGGGAGCTTAAAGGAATGGCCAAATTCGGCATAAGTCAATTTTATCGGAGGGAGTTGGAATATTTGTTTCTTAGTTATATGTTATCCTCCTAACGAGAAGGTTTAAAAACAAGTATGTTACGAATCATTCCAGTTCCAAAGAACTGACTTATGAGCTGATGACACCCTCGAGGACTAACAGTCCAATAGCAGTGGCAATGATCATTGTTAATAAATTTAAATAATCCTATAAAATTTGTGCGTCCAAAGTGCGTTTCTGGATTTACCTTCATCATGAACGCTCAAGTTCAAACATTTGAAAGCCAGAGATGCACAAAAACATTGATAAAAAGATGTAAACAAACACCTGTCGACTCTATTTACACTCGTGCTACATTTACTAAGACAAATATGTTACTAGAAACCTTTTGTGCAGCGAAAGCCTCATACAATATCATTTTGGTGTTTTAAACAAATTATATCTATTACTTTAGAAGTAATTTTTTTTGTTTTCAAAATTGTTATTCATATTCATGTATTTGTCAGGGGACTTTGTTTTAGTTAATGCAAATAAACAGAGCTGTTGCAGGGTCGATAAGATAAATGGAACGAAAACAAAAAACTCTGATAATCTTTTAGAATAATTCGCCGGATGTATAAACTTTTGAAAGGAGGGACATTTGATATGTTTGGACGACTGACACCCATCAGCGAATATTACACGCATCTGCAGGGAGCATTATGTATTTGTTAGATTTCTTTGTCTTAAATCTGCAGTGAGAGGATTGTATCTTGAAGACCCAATTTACTTTGAATGAGATGAGGAAAGGCAATTAAAGATCTGTGTCTTAACTTATAATTTTTAAAGTAGGCGTACTGATTTTGTTTCATGAATTGATTCATTGATTCCTTCCATTACCATTTTAAAACTGCCAATAGTATAACCCTATAGCAAATATTCTTAATTATCATCACAAGACTATTTAAGTGTCCCATATATTTTGACATGTGAGTGTCATGCCCTACTCTCCCATTTCATAACATATATAATACACATAAGAACCCAAATCAAAAAGAAAAATGAAATATTCGTAATTGCCATGATAATACCACTACTATAAAAGTGTGTTTTGTCTCTCCTATACCTGTGTGACTAAAATGGAAGCATACTTATAAACAGTTTCTCATTGTTTGTTTACTTTTTCTTGTCTCGTATTGGGGAAGGATGACTGTTTTATACACATCACGTCTGATCGAAATTCAAACATACATTGAGTGTATTATCTAGTATTGTGTCTTTTTCAGACAGTGCAAAACAAACTTTTTTTTTCTGTTGTCACTTACGACCCACTACCCACATAACCTAGCCAATTAATTAAATATTAAATTCTAGTATGTTAACGTCTTAAATGTGACTGAAATGTTTGACCCTCGAGATGTCTACATAGAGATGGAAATCTGTATGATTTATTCGCCAGACATCATATCTTGGGGTCATCCGCGTAAATAGAACGTCAGAAGTTTTATTTTAAGGTCAAGTTACAGTAGATAAGCTATGTCACAGATTTTGGTAAAATTTTGCATACAACTTTGGCTCGTTAAACTTTTAATATAAATCGAAAAAGATAATGTATTTATCCCTTTTATTATCTGAAATAGTACTGATTGAATTCTTTTAAAATAGGTGAATCTCCTATTTGAAATCCCTAGATTTTTCTTTAAAAAAATATATGTTGTTGATAAGAAATTTCCGGGTTTTTTAATTAAATAATGTTGTATTTGCATGTCCGTTTTGATAAACTGAATATTTGTATTATTGAAAAAAATAAATTATTTCAAAGGGTTGCAATGTTTTTAATTGATAAATCTGTTAATTTAATTTTGATACAATTATAAAAACTTCGGATGGAGATATGATTCCATTTGTAGGAAATTTATTCAAAATCAAAACATCTACCGTCCATTTGTCGTAATTTTTAAATTAATATGAGTTTTTGACGGTTGTTTAGCTGTTTCCTATAAGCCTTTTGTTGTCAATGATGTCACAGATTTAAAGATTTGTTTTAGAATGTATAT